ATTTTATTTTATTTTATTCTATTTTATTTTATTTTATTTTTTCCCACTTTCAGAACTTTGTGTGCAGTGCAGAATGCTAGCATCAAATTATCTGATCTAAACAACAGTAAAAATTTCCATGCCATTATTTTTCTTTTTCTCATTTGGGTCTCTAGGCTATAGTGCAAAATTAAAAAAAAAACAAACCCAAAACCCCAAACAGAAAGGAAAACTACAAAAAAAACCCACTAAGAAATTGGTCTAACTACTAGGAAAAAAAAAAAAATGGAGACTGACCTATTCCCTGCCTCCATCTGAGGTTCTTCATGAACAAGATGGTCCAAAGCTATTTGTTTGCTTAGTTCTCACAAATCACTGCTGGCTGGCCCATGTGTAGCTACGACTTCAGTCTCCAGTGCTCCTTCGGTAATAATTCGTTTCTTTAGCACTGTCATCTCAATACGACATTTTATTTTTAGTTTCCTTAATTTCTGAAACTGTTACAATGAAGGCTTCTTTTTTTTTTTTGCTTTTGTAACCGGGCCATGTAATGTCATGTGATTCTTTATACATCCATATCCTCCTAAGAAATATCGCTCAAAAATGTACTTAGGACTGCGCCCAGGAACTGGGAAAATGCCAAATCTACTTTCAGCGACAAACTTGTAACACATTTCACTCTTTGACCTTTTGGCATAATATGAGAACAACAGTAATCAAGGCAGTATTAAAAAACACAGCTGTAGGTAATACAAAGTGCATTTCCTGCATATAATACAAATATAATGTTAAGAAACTAAAGGCACAAGCTAACTAAATATGTATTACATACAAGAAATGCACAGTTCAAGGTAACTCTAATAGCTTCAAATATTTGTTTATAATGGATATTTAAAGCAGTTTGAAAATGATACCTCATTAGTGAATTGCAAAAAAGTATAATTGCTTAAAATATAAGTAAAATAGACTCTAATATTGACATCTTGGATCAGTGATAAAATACATCATCATGTTTATGAATGCACTCTCTATATACAATTCATAAATTATTCTTCCATTGATTAAAAGCATATTAGAGGCTCAAGGATTTGAAGGTCCATTTTTAGGCTGGTGTGGAGGTATTCAAATTCTCCGTGATTGTATGGAAAATTCCAGAAATCGGAGCTGTCAAACCTGGATGTTGTCAGCTCCCAATTCCGTACGTTAGTTAACGATGAGCCCGATTCAAAATGTGTATTGTGCAGATTTTGGTCCACAGTTCCCCCTAACTGCGAGGGTGGGGGGTGGGGGTGGAGGTAGAGTGTGGTTTTAGGGGCCAGGCTCTCTCTCTCGGCCTGATCCTGCACCCCCAAAGCTGCGCTGGCTCCCGGGGGGAGCGGAAGGGGTCTGGAAAGAGACGCGAATGGTGCGAGGCTGAGACCCGAGTCCAAAGCCCTGGGGGGGGTCGGGTCTCAGGTGCCAGGTCAGGCTCATCTCTAACTTTGGTACAGTCTGCTCCACTTGCCCAAAAACAAGGGAAAAAAAGAAAACTGGAACAAAAGGAAGAAAGACAAAGAAAGCACTTCGTTGGCTTCAGTAAATATGAGCAGAAGTTGTTTCAATATATTTACTATGTCTGTTTTGAAAGAAATGTGCAATAACATCACCGTTACGGATACACAGGCTCTATAACAAGACTTCTAGCTCCCTCTGAAAGTCAGTAAAGGAAATCTGCTTACCCGTCCCCCCTCCCCATGTGCCCTCCCCACCTCCCGATAATCAGGTCTTTTAAAAATGACAAGCTGAAAGAAGGATCACCTACTCTGCTATGAAATAACTGTGCCAGCAGCGCATGGTACCTTGGGAAATAAAAAGTTCTGCCCATGCAATATAATGCTTTTCTATGTGCTCTAGATATTGAGCTGAAAAGTGAAGAGTCATCCCCAAAATGTTCTACGTTTATCAACATATTTACTATCCACACTTAGGTTCATCAACTCCCAACCAACCGATCGTCTTCAGACTCGAAAAGAAATGAGTAATACAACAGGATTATTAATCTGAGATGAAAAGAACGCGATGCCTAAATCCAACAACACTGCAATTTCTGAATGATCTGTGAAAAGACGAGTCCTGACCCAATGGCTACAGACAGGACTGATCCTGCACGGCTCGTTGTTACCTCACGGTGTGGGCCCCCCCCGGCTGGGTGATGAGGGTTGTCCCAAAAGCACCGAGTTAAAGCCCAGTCTGGAGCACATGGATGTCAGAGGAGAGGCTCCCGCTGCCTACGGCGCTCGCAAAGCCCGTCCTTGGCCATCCCTGACGCCTGGGCTGAAGCCCAGCAGTGCGGTGCCACCCTGCACCCCCCCACCAGGGAGATCTGCGGGTGCTGCCGGACTCTGGCATAACCCAGTGCGGAGGGAAACCTTGGGAGAGAGGCCTCCAGGTCAAAAGGAGATGCAACGTGGCGTTCATCACTGGCTGAGAGGTGGCTACGGCCGAGCAAAGCTAAAGGCCATACGGGACAGCCCGTTACGTGCTGCATCCAATACAAGTCGCGTTTCCCGGGTTAGAAAATCCCTTAGGTCATAGCTGTGAGGAATGACACGTGCGGGGTTGGTGAGCAACTACGAAGTTTCCATACACAGTCTGGTTTCTGAATGCAACCCCTTGAACTTACGGGATCTCACTGGGATTAGAACCGCCCAGTAAATATGGGTTGCAGAATCAGGCTCTGTAACCTTTCTAAATAACTGGTGAATTATTAAATCAACAACAACAAAAAAGTCGTGTTTCTTTAGAAGAAGGCAGAGCACGCTGCGCTCTCCCCCACCCCGCAGGGACGTGTGGCGTCACCCCGGGCACCTCGCGCGCGGGTCGCGCTGCTCAGCTGTCAGGACTCTGCTTCTGAAATTTTTGAATACTGCCACACAAGAACTAAAAATCGTCACTGTCGTCTCTCAAAGAGTTAAACGAACAATATTAAAATACCATCTTCTGTCACATTTAAAGGCAGTTGGATATGTTTTCTCCTCTATATTTATATATACAGAGTTCTGATCTAGAAAAACCAATACAATAAACCATTTTATGTTTAAAAACAGGCAGTCTTTGGTGACGCAAAGGCAGAGATTTTCTTTGTTACCTTCTGCCTATTTCACTCTGTCTCATAAAGTGAATATTGTTGGCACTGTCAGAAAGTTCGAGATACTGCTCCACAGATAAAACAAAATATCCATCGTAGCCTTGTACCCTCCCAGTGCTTAGAAGCTGCTGTTTCTCTCCATCTGTCCATGCCCTAATACCTTCTTCCCCTTCCTGCAGCCGTCTCTGCTCCTTAGTCCAGGCTTGAGCCACGGCTCTCTGCCTGGCTATCTCTAAGACATGGTTCTTTTCTTCTTCCACCGTTGTTCCATACCGGACGTTAAAGCACAGGGCGCCGTGCTGGAGCTGGATGTCAGCAAAGCGTCTAGTCCTCCCGTTGATCACAGAAGTCATCTGTGACACTGTGACGTTGACGCCATTCTCCAAGATGCGTCGTCCTCCGGTGTTGCCAATTAGGGCCAAATCTTCTTCCAAAGACCCCAGCTTGATGAAATAATGCGTGTCTCGGCCCTCTATGGTGAAATGCAGGTTCTCCAGATAATGAGCGTTGTTGAGGATGGCAGCAATGCGCCGGCTGTCCTCGTTAGCCACGCCTATAATGTCAGCTGTCACTATACCATCCTTTATAGCGAATTTGATGCCTTTTCCAAATACCGAAGGAATGGCTGCAAATCTCAGTTGCTTCACTCCCTCGTAGCACTTGCCATCACTGTACCTGGGTGTCATAGGAAGTTGATCCAAGGATATAAAGTTTCGGAGTTGCTTTTGTAGCTCACACTGAATACCAAGGATAGTCTGGAAAAGAAAATACCAATAGTTTGCAGGTGAGGCATCTTGCTGTTCATTATAGTGTCTCACAGACCCTACTAATCTCTTAATTGCTTTAGAATGGTTCTCCAATTTGTCTGGAAAAAATGGTGCACATCTACAGAGCCTGGGTATACGCACAGGCTTTCTAATCGCCTAAGGTACTGCTTCCTGTCTCTTGGACTCTTTCATTTCTAGAAAACAAATGGAAGATGTGTTTATCACAAATGCTATTTTTGTATTTATTCTTCCTTGTCTTTTCTTCCTCTCCCCTTGAATTGTTACTCTAATGGCTGGAAACCTGAACTCAAAGCTGTGCTCTTCCACACGACTCTATGCTTAGTCTCTGTGCATTTAACTATGTCTTCTGTAAAATAGCAGTAACAGTTTTTATGGCCCATTCTTTAAGGAAAGCAGGCTGTGAAGGTCTCAAGACACTAGAACAACAGGACCCAGGCAAGCACATCAGATCTGTAGATCTTGCTCCCTCATTGAGGCTAAAAAAAAAATAATCTCACTCCAACCATCTATTTGTCTTTTAACACTATATCTATCACTACACCTTTTCGGTGCCTTTGTAATAGCTTCTTTAATAGCTCAGTGTCAATTTTACATGGACACACTCCTACATCTGGAACGAGATCTGACTGTCCAGCCCTCTGCACTTTGTGCAGTCATTTGTGCACGGGAAAAGAAGTGTGTTAAACTCTGCGAATGTGAACTCACACCACTTTATACTTCCTTTTCCTGACTGCATTAGAGGAAAGGCATCTTTTCTCTCTCATCTTTGCAAAATGGTATTTCTTTGTTAACGGATGCTCATGTGGTCAAATGCAAAACACGAACGCCTGCTCAGAATATCGGTAGTTGGTCCTGTTGCAGTTACATTGATTGCTGGACCCTGATAGCTGCCGCATGGCTCCGCTGAAAATGAGCCCTGGAGCAAGGTTGAGTTTTACAGACTCCCCCCTACAAATCCATAGCACCATTTCTGTTTTCCTGCAATAATTATGCAGAGGTACAGACTTGTAAAGCTGTTTATACCCTCAGTGATTTTGCGTCTCTTGTGGCATCTTTTCTAACAAGGATGAAAATCTGTTAATTTTTTTAATTCCACAAATTCTTTTGCAGTTTTTTTTTTCCAATTTTCACACAAATGCTTTTACCCTTTTGCCTATCCTGCCCCTCAAATTTGGGCAGTTTCTCTGTAACCAGCTGTAATGTTCCTTCACTCTTGCTAAAAGCTTCTCCTTAAAACTCTCTTCCACTCTGATGCCAGTCATAATTGACAACATTAAAGTTGTAGCATTGTTAGACGATTTGCCTTGCCTATTATGCTGAAAGATACAGTCACACTGTTTCCTTGGTCTCCAATATTTTCTAATAAAATTCCTTAATTTAGTATTTGAAGCAGCTGAACAGAGTTTTTGCTAACCTTTCCAGGATCCCACTCTTGGGTTTTTGTTTGAAGCTGTAGAAGTTCGTATGTTGTCTCCAAAGCTTCTATCTCTGGTTTTGGGAATCCAGGCAGTACGTTGTGCAACTGGAAACCAAACAGCTCTAGCCAACTTCCAATGTCTACGAAACAAGAAAAGGATGCTGGCAATAAGGCATATAAATCCTAGAAAAAGTGAGGGTAGTCTGCAGAAATCCCAGCTATGCGGAAATAATGATTTCACATCAATTTCTGCTTTCAGTACTGGTTACAGCATTTATTGTAGCAAACAAATTATTTGATTACAAAGCATAGCTATACTCAGATCAATAGTGCACCTTCTATCTATTTATAACGGCAAAAATTCAAATTAAGCTGCCTCCATTCTTCCCCTAATTTTAGCACTTAGAAAAGCAGCAGAAACAACTATTAATTATATTCTTGGTTACCATAAAGGCTATAGAAAACAGATCAAGCTCAGTAAGATGCTACCTATTAAAGAAATTAATATATGTAAGATTAGAGCCAAATAGTAACTTTGGATGTATGCAAAAGATTTCTGGAATCTTGAATCCATACCAGAATTTGATAAAAAGTTGTATTTTCATGAGAAACGTGTTACTTTTACCTGTTGTATACTTTGCAACATCTTGGATTCTGCCAACTGGGTAATTATTTTCAAATGAGTAGAGATTAAATGGTTGTGGGACAGCATTCAGGTGTTTCCATATATGATGATTTGGTGTCGTCCACCGACCAGCAATGACGTCGTAGTCCCGCTGACCCAGATGAACTAATTTAGTAAGAGAATCATAGAGCCCTCCATGAAAACCAATGATAACCTGGAAATCTGGATTAGTGTCGTGGTAGATCTCTCCATATGGGGTGTACAAAATCTCTTTTATGACTTGGCCCCGACTGCTAAACACAGCTAGAGGTGTTCCAGTGTTATCACAAGCAACATAATATTCTTCTCCACTGCTTAATTCCATTGCAATGAGATGACCTTGAAGATCGTAATACAGGGATGTTATTTCTGAGCTAGTATGATTGTACAAGTGAGTAACTCTTATTGGGTTGGAGAGATCAGCATAGAAGAACTGTAAGTGTTGTCCTAGGCTTGATTTGCTTGCAACTCGTCTTCCAAGACCATCATAACAGTATTGCACAGTCCAGCCAGACACTTTGTTGTATGCTTTGTTCAGCAGACCGTTAGAGTTGTACTCAAAGATCTCATTGCCTCTTTGCCTGAGAAAACCATCTTCATCCATTTTATATTGAATTTCTCCAAGTCTGGTAATGCGATCTCTCAGATCGTATCTCAGAGGAGTGAGACGCGCGCTGTTTCCATGGCTCAGCAAGTTGATGTTGCCATTAAGGTCATAGCTGTAGCGCCACTGGGTTTTATCATTCACAGACACAGTTTGAAGTTGGCCATCAGCATCATATTCATAAAAATATCTTGTTATATTGGCATCTACACCTACGCGTATATCACAGATCACCATACGACCCATATTATCATATTGGATGGTCATCCAGTAAGCGATAGACTTGAGAATTTCATACTGTACTTCAATCACCTGACCATTGGCACTAAAAATTTTGGTATGTTTCATCACAGTGGTGGTTATAACTTGGTTTAAATCATAATTAATTACACTGAATTTTCCAAATTGTTCAGTTCTGCCAGAAACATCGACATAACGGTACAGATCTATGGGAAGAGGCGTCTCATTTATCATGGCCTGCATGCTCGTGACACGGAAGTTGTTATAGCTGTAGTCAAATCTGGCATTTACAAGCCCTTCTTCACTAAACCTGAAGATTTGGCGACCAATCAGTGGACCTGTCCAAAACAAACAGGGGAAAGAGGAAAAGCAAGAAGAATAATGAATTATGTCAGCAGTATCCTTACCCTACAGATCTAGCACAGACAGGCGATGAACTCAAATATACCCTCAAGCCTTATTGCTACTTGACTGTCTCAGAAAATACCATTAACTAAGAATATGTTAGATTATTCTCTCACAAACCGTTATTAATGCTTGCTCTACAAAATATTTTTATTTTATTAGCATTTGCTTAAACAAATGCTATTTTATTCATAATTATGATTTCTATTTACTTACAAGATAATTCTAAACTAAATTTATTTTACATGGTGATTTCCTTCCTCATATAAACAGCCCCTTTGAATTTATGTTATATTATGGTATAAACAGGGAAACTTGAAAATGCAAACAATAAAACAACTTGATTTAGTATTTAGCAAATATCCACACAGTGGAATAAAAACAATCAAACATTATAAGAGCTATTCCATACCAAGCAATAAAAAGAAAACTGTATTTCAAATGGGACAGCTATATATGCCTATGGACACAGACATAGAGATATACACGCATATTTTTCTATTGAAACATAAAATATAAGAACTTGTAGACATAAAAATAATGGAATTTCATGCCAGGTAAGTGCAGGATCAAGGCCCAAAACTTCAGCACAAGTTTTTTTACACAAACCTGTTTGTCTGTATCTGATAGTACAGATGAACCCATCGTGCATTAAATGTATTGTTTTAATAACCCCAGAAGATTCCTCGTAGGTGAACGTGACTTGAGTAGTATCATAAAGAATCTCGGAAAGTCGGGACTGTTTGGTGTATTTGTAAAGGACCCTGCGTCCTGTCCCAGGATACAACGTTTGCAGAAGGCGTCCGTCTCTGGCGACGTCCTGTATGAAAGCCGCGTTGCTGTCCGGAGGGGTATAGATGTTGCGGTAGTACCCGACGGACAGCATGGTCTGCAAGGCATGGCGCACCATGCTCGGCATGGTGACCGAGAGCAGGTAGTCGGACTGGTCATACTCAAAGATGTAGCGGCGCTGGCTGTGCAACAGGAGCATCACGGACTGCAATCAAACAGGAATGGTAGTGTAAGTGGCTGATCAAGCAAATAAATAATCATCTAGCGAGTGCCTGAAGGTTAAGGAAATGCTGAAACAACCATCCACGCTTGTAGTTTGCTGTTGCTGTCTGTGCAATTCCAAGTGAAGCTTTCAGCTCCAGGAGACCTGGCCAGCAAAGTGGTACAAAACAAGAGGAGATTAATATTAAGTCTAGAGGTAAGGATCTCCAAACTGGAAGGCAGATGTGGCTCTCAGTAGCATTTCAGCCTCATGCTGACTTGCTATGTCGCTTTGAAATATTTAGGTCATTCTCCCAGGAAGAAAAACCAGAAGGAACCTCTTCCTCACACACAGGCAGAGCATCTGCACCAGCAGATGTTTCTAAGGAAGGTGGACAGGGGAAACTTTCAAAGGTGTGTACAAGGTGCTTAGCTTTTATTGGCACTCTGCATATCTCCAGCACAGACCTACCCCTTTTTCTGTATGTCTTCTATTAAATGCACATTGCCCCAGAGGTCACAATATCTCTGTGCTTACAGATGGATGAAAATAGTCTGCAGGTGCTTTGGTGTTCTTCTATCTCTGTTTTTTAATGTTTACAAAGAATATAATTTCTACACAGGTACTTGATATTTGCCCTGTGTTGGTTAATTGTGGCTGGTCAATGAAATCTGGTTGGTTTGCTTGGCAGATGAATGCACAAGCATGGCAGATGTTTTTCTGTGCAAATTTAAAGTTTGGCTTCTATAAACCTTTTCACCAGTCATGTGCAAAGTCACAGTGTCACAGAGTAGAAGCCCAACAGTCACTGTTGAAACAAGCACAGTGAAAAAAGAGTGAGAATACACGGAAGAAGTTTGTAGCCTTCCCCCAGCTCCAGTACGCGGCTTGGCTGGACCTGAGCACTGACCCTGCACAGTCCTGAGCTCGCAGCCCAAACCGACCAGGCACATAAGCAAATTTGTCAGGCTGCTGCGTGATTGAGACATCGCGCAAAACAAAGTCTTATGAATAACAGTCTGACTGCTTTTTCATAGAGCATTCAGGAATGAAATCTGAAAAAAAAAAAAAAAGGCTCTTTTCCCCTCTAAGCTCAAAAATCTTCTCTGGGAAGAAAACACCAAGAGCTCAGCTCTGCAATGTGTTAAGTAACATTGGCCGTGAGCCACTTTGCTCTGACAAATAACCCAAGTGCTTCTTCGAAGGACCAAAGATAGGCTAAGCCTTGGCCACCCCCTCTGCACCCCCTGCCCCCCCAAGATGTGTTTCTTCCTGCCCTCGGTGACAGACATCTGTCACCCGCACACAAGCCAGAGAGCACCAACATATGTCGCTCGCAAGTTATCCTCTGCCAACCGGTGACAACAGACCTTTACACCGAGCTTTTTCCGATCGCTTTATTGCCGGTCTGCCAAGCATTTCGAACACGCACAGTGTTTATTTTGTTTTCACCTTCAGTCAAGAGTCCCCAATCTGCAGTAAACCACTGGCTGAACTCTCCCAGCTCCCAGGCCTGTTTTTAAGCTGTCTGCCATTGACAGAGTATGAATAACAAGATCAGAAACATCTCTAATATAACTTTAGTGCCCCTGTGTGCCATTTTTACAGCACTTTGTGGCTTTTCCACTTTTGTCCAGGATAGTAAAAGGATAGACAGTACAAGCGTTGGAGACTCAGTATCCTCTCTAGCCTATTAGAAGATACCATAAAGAGAAAAAAAAATTAATTCCCAATTCATCCTAATAATATTACAATAGATTTTTCAACTCTTTCCACAAATTGGCTTCTAATTGTCTTAAAGGATTTCAGAGGGTAGCTCATAAAACATCCCAAAAGCTGTCATTTTATAAAAGCAACCAGAGCCTGGTCAACCATGTAATGATTGATGCCGCACGGTATATTGAGACAAACAGCCAGGGGCAATTACTTGGAGCTCCAGTGGGAATACACAGAAATGCTGAGTGTCACCACTAGATGTCATTTCTGTCCAACATACACACGCAGCCGCCCATCTGTTTTGTCTGGTGGTAAACGGCAGGATTTCGGAAGCAAGCTCGGAGTATTCAGGAGATTTTGTAACACCGTTAACTAATCGAGAAAAGTGACCACAACAAGAGGAACCGAATCTCATAAGTAAAAAAATATTTACAGTGCTACTGTAAATAAAACCTAAATTATTTGGCCTGATTTTGGCAGGGGGAGAGATTTTTGAAGATGTACAATTAACTCATCAAGTGATAAAAAATGAAGAAATAAATAACTATGAATTGGAAGCGAATGATAGAATTGATTTTTGATAAAAGGAATCATTGGGTCTTACGAGGTTTCAGACAACCTTTAGCAATCATTACACAGTTAACACAATGAGTTACTGCCTTTAATGGAGCCACAAAATGATATCTCAGTGTCTAATTTTGACAGTGAATTAGTCTTTCTTTGGCACAAGGAACGAACAGTGATGAAAGTACATTAAATAGCCGGAAGATTATGTCCATAGTGTGTACGACTTTCAATAATTTTAATGACAAGTTGCAGCGTAACCCAAGCCTGCTGCTACCCGAACCAGTAATCTTTTGCCATTTGCTTCTACAAGATCAGGATTTGGCCACTTGTGCAGAATTCCGGAATAACTTTTTTAAATTATATGACTTTATTTATAAGCTCATCATAAACTAAGAAGAGACAAAGTGGTTTGGAAAGATAAGCAGCATACATCTTTCCAAAAATACAGTCCATTAGGCCCAAAGAAAAAATAAAAGATTCCTCCAAAAGGCACATTGCCCAAATATTTGAAAGCTGTACTAAACGTCTGTTTACTTGCAATTTGCAGAAGAGCACACAGACAAAAGAAGCCCTGACAAATTTATCTGAACCAAACTTCTGAAGCTTCTAGGGTTTGCCAATCTTGTTAACACGTGCAAGAACCACACTGCATGCAGACAAGGGAGGAATCGCATTTTTATGCATTCTCCAGTCTAAATCGTTTTTCTCTCTGGGTTAGGTTTAAGTTTTTTGAGGATCAGGCTTAAATACATTCAAAATAAGTACAGCAAAGTTTATCTTAAAAGTACACATTTGGAACTTTTAAATATATAAATAACTTCAAAGTGACTGGATTTCCTGCGTGTAATACCCCCTATCAGTTTTACCTCACCTGCCCCCTCCCAGCCTTTCTCTGTGGTTCAGAGAAAATGTTCTGCAAACCCATGGTATATTGGATAGTCCCAGACGTTGCTATTTAAAAAAAAAAAAAAAAAAAGTTTCAAAGGACACTGAATACAATTTCACACCGAGTTCTGAAAGCTTTAAAAATACAGATTGGCTTTTTGGTTTTGAGAGACAAGATGATCCCAAATGAGACGCTTCTACAGATAAATGAGATGCTATTCTTCCTTAGTCTGTACACTACCTATTCCCCCATCTTGTGACCATTATCTAGGGACATAAATGAAAATTACAATACTCAGGCAATTTAGACACGAAGTGACTATAAAAGCAGAGCAGTAACTCATTCCATATGACTATTCCCCCCCCCCCAAACAGCTCTCATAAATACTGAAGCCATCTTTCTCCTCATAGGATCAGTCCCTTTTTTACAGCACAGCAATGAGTAGGTGCAACTGGTACTCACTGCCTCATAATTTTGCCTTAAAAAAGCTGTGTTTGTGGGGAGGAAACAGTTCCTTTTCGGTGACTGTTATATTTTTGACCATGTTATACAGAGTGGCAACATGTTTATCAGCAGCGAGTGTCCCTTCTTCACTTGAACTTGGACTGAGACCAAGATGACATTTCTACTTAGCAGTTAAATGAATCTGAGGTGCTAATAACTTTCTTCAGAACTAAACTATGGCAGGTTTGAACTGGTGACTTGTAGGCCTAAGCATGTCCAGAGACGTTTTTATGCATTTTCTGTTTAAAAAGTCTTAAATACTCTTGCAAGAGGCAGCATTATAGCCCAGTTCACAATATAATATCTATATCGAAATAAATATTTTTGCCTTAGTACAACAATCCACTTTTAAAATGATTTACCTTTTCTAAATATGTGTAACTCCATATTTTACCATCTGCCCATGTTCTGGAAATTATGTTCCCACTTGGATCATACTCCATTTTCTCAGTCCAGGTTCCTCTTTGGATATAGGTGACTAATCCAGAATGCGAGTAAGTGATATTGACCTCATTGTACTTGCTGATGGGCGACCATAAAATTGGACGTCCCGTCTGGTCATACATAATCCGAAGAGTGAATTTTCGATGATCATCATAAATCTTTCCGGTTCTGGTTACATGATCGAAATCAATGGAAAGCAGGTTTCTGTTGTGGGCCTAAACACAAAGATACACGAAGGTAAGAAAACAACGCATCTGAATCATGCACAACACGGACGTTTCTGTGGGAGCTCTAATCAAAATGTGCAATGGCTTAACATTATGATGGAGAATTTAGGCCTTATTAAAGACTAGAAAACAGAAAAATATTCATATGAGAAACAGGAGGACCAAGAAACAAAATGCTGCTTCCATGCAGTGTTGTTATACTTTGCATTAGAGGATGCTTCCTATTTCCATGTGCTCAACCCTCACCTTTTCCTAAGTTTTTCTTCTTTCATCCCTCTGTGGATCGACTTTTTGATTCCAGCCAAAGGTGTGCAATTAAGCCCACAAATTAGCAAAGACACCCTATCTCACATCCTCTCTCTGAAGCTCAGTGAACGCTGACAGTCAGCTGCTGCTCTGGGACAGCCCGCGCCAGGTTGCACGCTGATGCCGCAAAGGGAAGAGCTGTGCTCGCAGCTCCCGGGTGCCCTGCTCACCACCGTCCTCGTACCTCTTCACAAAACCACCCCGCTCCCAGAGCTCGTGCAAGCCAGCGGGAGCGGTGCCTGGTGCCAGCCATACTCCTTGTTGCAGCTCCCTCACCACATCTGGGACCTGCAGCATTTGTTAAACTCACCGTGTCCGACAGACTAAGGGAGTGATGTGCCGCGATCTGCTAACGTTTATGGGCCAACAGGAAAATGCCGAGGGACAGCCCAACTCTCAGTTTGAAATCAAGTTCAAAGCTGAGCCAGATGCATGATGACAAAATATATTTATCCAGCGCTTTCATCAGCTGCCTCCTTACATCATTCAGTCACTGGGCAATCACTATTAAACTCCATTTAAATCCGAGAGATAATTTAGGGAACCATAAGACATTGTTCATTGACTCGTCTTTTTCAGATCAATGCTCAATGCGCTCGTATGAATCTACTGCATTTTATCTAATCACCTGCAGTAATCTGTCCCAATTAATAAATTCCTTATAGCAGAGACGATGTCGGTGCAGGTGTTAGCCCAGTGCACAGCACAGTGCTTGGTCCCCCCCGAGACCTGGAGGCACAGCCACGAAGTAAATGGTTAAGAATACCTGTTTAATAATTCAAGCTGGGATCATATGGTGGTAGTGATTAGAAAGAACATTTTTTTCTTTCCCCTTTCTGTTTTTAGATACAAAATAATTTGAAAATCTAGAAGAAGCAGGTGTTCTTTCTTCAACTACCATTCCTGGGGTTTTATATACACACATGTCTAACTTTAATAGTGTTCATTTACAATAGCTGTAAAATACCTATATACCCCTGTAGACTGCTGTAACTATTACGATTTATGCTCTAATGATAGTTAAGGAGCCCAAGTAAAATGTGATGCTCAGTTCAACTATATTTGCTTGTATACAGTCTGATGGATTAAATTTATTATAATATATTTCTTTGCAAACTTCTTGCAATTTCTGAAAACAAACCCTGTTGGTGGTAAAATAACTGAAAAGCAAGCAGGGGATGTACCCGGGCTCATATTCATTTACTATCTATGTACATATTTAATGTTCTTATTGCTATTATTATTATATTGTAGAATGCAGTTAGGAGAACGGGAAGTCTCGAATACAAATTGCTTGCAATCTAAATTTCAGGGACGATACAACAAATAAGAATGAAAACCAAACAGAGGCAGAATTAGCAGCAAAGTGGATAGCGGCAGCATTTGAAAGCTCACAGAGCTTTTGGGTGGATGCCATTATTTCCCTTATATTCCACACTTTATGTCTCATTTGTTTACTTTCTTAGATTAGATTAAAGTTAAATTTAACAGCCGTCTCAAGGCAAGACAGGATGATACATGAGTAGCAGGCCTCATTTCAACCGTGTCACTGAAAAGCTGATTTCAAATCCCGGGGGCTTCTTAAAAGACAACTCCTCCGACGTACATACAGCGTCGTAAGGAGCCCCTCTGAGAGCCTGGCGCTCGTGGTCTGTCACAAGCCAGGGAAACTCGTTTCTGAAAGCAACGTCAGGTCAGAATTTCGGCCGATGAAAAGAGGGAGAAAAATTCAGCTGAGTTCAATAATAATGTTAGTAGTGCATAAAAAGATATATTTATTATTTATTTTTAAAGTTGTTGACTCTACTTCCATTAGTTTTACAGCTAGAAATTTTGCAGTGTAAATAATTGCATAAATGTGCACTTCTCTTGACTTTCATTCTCAAACCTGAACTGTCTACCACATGTAAATCAGATGAGATGATTGTATTATTTCCTCGTCTACGTTTTGATTTGAGTCAATGTAAACTGATACACACTGGCAGAGGATTTGGTCCTATCAGTAGAACTTGCTGTAAGACTGGTAAATCAAGGGAGATCATTCGCTAAATGCAATAATAAACATAGCTGTCAAAGCCTGCATCTGCAGGACTTTTGAATTGAGGCCAGTGAGATACTTCCTTTTCTGTTATTAACAAAAAAAAAAAAAGGAAAAAAAAAAAGAAAAAAAAAGAAAAAAAAGAAAAAAAAAGGCAAAAAAAAGGAAAAAAAAGGCAAAAAAAAAAAGCAAAAATAAGTAAGACTGTCCAAGCATTCAATTTCCAATTTCATAGATATTCAGTTATAAAACCTGGACTGCATCCAATGCCAAGTTCCTCTAAGTTATGCAAAAGACAGGAGGGAACAGAACTGCATTCTAATCAGTATTTTACTATGCATCATGCTCATTGGTTTTAACAACAGCCTTTGCTTCATTTTTAGAAGTCAATTAAAATAGCAGTTCAATTGTTAAAAAAGAAGTCTTGCTGGATTAAGATTGATGCTAAAATGCCTGATTGTACATAGATTTATTATTAATATAAAATGCATACATGCCTACAGACTGTTTTATATACTTTCAGGAAGCACCAGGGCAAGCAGTCCTGCACTTAAAGGAAACCTGTGATTAATTTGTTTCCCACATTGATTTAGATACTGAGATAACGCTAGATGTCTGTTCTAACATTTCAGTTAACTTCCTTGCTTCTGCTCTATTTCTGGAGCAGGGAACTTGCACCGTGCAAAATTTGCACTTTTTAAAACAGAACGTTTACAGCATTATTCAGAACGTGCTACCCGTGGCCTCCTTCCAAAATCAGAAATAACACTAATACAGTGACATGCTTTCAAGATAGTTGCAAATTGCAATTAAGTATTAAAAATGTCAGGACCAGGCAGAGAAGGAAAAGCTTTCTTCTTCTCAACTAGGTCATCCTTTACCTCATCCCCAGTTACCTGCCTTCTAATTTATACCTCTTAGCACTCAAAGCCGTTTGTTTCAATGATGGTATCAGGCCTGATCGCTAAGTAACATCTTTAAATCTCATTTCTATGCTTTTTTTTTTTTTTTTTTAGAAAACTCTCCCATTGTGCTGGTTTTTTCTCTTTAACTGAGGGCTCCTGCAAGTCTGTTCATTTCCATTGAGAACTGGTCCAATCCCCAGAGCTTTTCTTTACATATATTTTCAAAGTTCAGCATAGTTCTTTCTGCCCTACATTGCAAGCTTTCTAACACGCTTCCTATTATGCCAGTCATGGCATATTAAGTGTCTAAAAACTTTCTTTTTAAAATATAAAGAAATTTGAAACTAGAAGTTTTCAGAAAGTCTCACCAGAACCTTATTCACTGTAAGGGCTTCTAATGATGCTACATTTTTTTCCCCAGCAGTACTCAAGGGTCTGTCAACAGTAAGCCCTAAATCCCTTTAATTATTTGGCATACTGCTTCAACCACACTATCTGATGGCATTTTTGCTCTTGCTGTCCTGCATCTTTCCTTTAATCACCAAAGAAAGATAGCTGTCTCTGGGTAAATTCTGCCGCTCCTTTGCCGTCCTTGCCAGCTGCACTGGTCCAGCTCCTTCCACGTCTGCTGACTCCCCACTCCATCAGCATCCCACACAAACTTCTCAGTGCTACAGCTGAACTCCAGGACCCATATATTTCACCCATCCTCCAAAGTCCTTCTTATTGGCAGTGACAGCCTCGAAAGCCCATTTGTCCCTTTCTCTTGTGTCTATTTACACGGTGTATCCTATGCGCAGAATATTTCTCCTCCTTTCCACTATCAAATCCCCATTTAATGTGCTATCCCACCACGTTTCCTCCAGCCTTGCCCTGACAGCCCTCAGACAGATGCTCAGTACATTCAAGGGAGGGGAAAACGTTGTAAAACAGGTAGCTGACTTATCCTTCTGAGTAGGCAGGGACAATCCATAAGCCCCCTCAATCTTGGGTACATATAAAAAGACACAATTTACAGAAATAGCAACGCAATGGTCAGCTGTTGTGATGCTAGTGGATACTTTTGGAAGGACAGAGAATATAAGACAGCAGCACATCAAAATCATTCTTACACTTCACCTTCCATCCTGTCACTGGATGAAGGTGAAGGAGGGGAAGGAGGAGTACACGAGTGGTTCTATACACCAACAGACTGGTCCAGAGGCAGGTCAATCAGTTGAGCTCTGGATAGCTTCAGAGTTGTAGTATTTCAATGAACATTTTCTGCCTCCAGCCAGAATCCATTTAATCCTGACCAATTTGTGAATTTCCTCCCTTTCCTTTCCTCCCAGGCAATATTAAGGATCGTGCAGAAGCAAGTGAAAATGAGTTAAAAGAACCTGCAATCAATTTCAACAACAGAAAATATAAACTGCGTAATAGGAAAACTGTGCAGGATGAAGTACTTATATTAAATATAACTGTCACGAACAACTTGGCCCTGGCAATGTAAGCCGAATAGATGACTGACTACGTCCTTTCCATTTAAGGTTTTATTACGAAAGATGCTTAAAGAAAAATGTGCCACACAGTTATTTAAGCACAAAATAACATGAGCCATGGAGGCCATAGTTTGGATCCTGCCACCTTAACACAAGTTTGTGACTGTACTAAGTTCAGCTGCCTCCCCAGACAGGGCTATGAGGACTCATGCTATGCTAGAGAGGAGGCAGCCAGAAAATGGGCAAGAAAGACTAAACGAAGCTTCTCCCCCCTTGCAAGAACCTAATCAAGTATCTGTGATTGTAAAATCTGAAAGATGTCCTTTCAAACAGGTGTTTCATGTGCAGTTGCCAGTCTGGCCAGATCATCCAAGTCTTGCATTTTTGATTGATCAAAGCAGTTGAAAACCAAACAGACGATACGCTTTTAAAAAACATACAGTATCTCATAACCAAAAGACAATCCAGAGATTTTAATAACCATCGCTATATTTTCAGAGCTAACAGATGTACCTTCAGAGATAATGCCTATCCAGAAGTTAACAACGTCATATTTTTAAGGCAAAAATTCCCAGCCGTACTACCGGTACAGGCATTTTAAGGGGTATTCATGTGAAAAACAGAACAGAATTTGTAAAAAACCTGTTCTGCAAGGTAGCAGTCTCTTTGAGCCTTAGTGGTACCTAATTAAATGCTGAATGTTGACCATCTGTCATTGTAATCTGTGAGTTCTCCTAACAGATAAAAATAAACCATGGATGCAATATTAAAGTAATTCTTTATTAGAGCCACAGTGTAACCCAGCCAGAGGGAGCGAGGGGGTTTGAGAGCGTAGAGGGCAGAATACAGAGCCGTTCTGGATATGCAGGGAGGCTCTGCATCACTCTGGATTGCAGGAGACACGCTGGCCGGGACACCCAAGGTGTGCCCTGCGAGACCCTCTGCCCCAGGCAGAGGCTGGCACTGCTATTTCCCCCAGAAAAAAAGAGAATTGATAGATCTGAGAGAGGCAGAATATGGCTCCAACTCTGCTGCTGTGCCAGAGTAACTACGCATTGTCCTTTGCGCACAGCTTCTTCCAAAGCCGTAATTAAGTTCTTAGTTGAAAAAGAAGAGGAAGGAAAAAAAAGTAATTATGTCTTGAGGTCAAGTCTCACAACCAAAATCAAACAGAGATCAAACATCCCTGTGACTGTCAGAGGAGTTTGATTTTGAAATTCATAGCTGGGGCCCACCATTGATACAAACTTTCCATCGCTCTTCTTACAAAGTAGAACATTTCAACATCATTTTAGTTCAATGGCTTTCAAAGGGAACACTGCACTTTACACAAGAGGAAGCCTTACCCTTAGCCTTCTCTCAAACGTGGAGATATTGCCTTTGGTCTGCTCCCTCCTTTGCCTCCACTCAATGAGATTTGAGTTATGCTCTCCAGGAAGGGAGATATTGCACTTCCCCAAAGTGGGGCTGACAACCCCTGCTAGAATGTGCGGCTCCGTGTTAAGCGTGATTTCCATTCCACTGGCAAAGGTGACTCTCAGGGACCCATCTGGGCTGACCCGGTAGATATTCTGCGTGTTATCTGTCAGAAAACAACAACCAAAAACAGAACAGAGAACAGTTCAGATCTCCAGCTTTAGAAGGCAAATGTTAGGTGCAACAGGGCTTTCTTTGTCCCTGGGTTACGGACAGCTGAACGTACACCAATCACAGTGTGATTTTGCAACCTGTAACCTCCAGGCCTTCCCATGTCTAAAAAGCTTTTCATTACATTTGGGCTGATGATTTCCATTGTGAAGATCTCCTGCAGCAGTAATAAAGAGTTTTTGCTTTCGTCTTGAAAGTAAGTAAACCCGTAGGGTGGGTTTTAACGACCTGATGATTTTAGCACATTGGGATCTGTTAACAGGACAGTGTGCTGCTTGAACGACTGCAATGAGTACCTGAGGTCAAACATGAAAGCTGTTTTCAAAATGTCTCGGATGATGGCCAGTCTCCCTTTGTCCCATTTCCCCGTACCACCACACAAACCTCCTCCTCTTCCCCATTAGCAGCAGGACCCTGCCCCTGGTAGAGGCACGGTCAGCCACGAGGCTGAAGCCTGGTGCAGGAGACCCACTGGGAAGGGGTTGTTGGCTGAAAAATGAATGGGTCAGCAACCGTGGCGCAGTGAGCAGCTCCAGAGGCTCAGGACTGTGCCGCAGCGGGCTGTTGAGGGCAGGTGGGATGACCACAGTCCCCTCCCCCTCCCCAAAACTGCCAGAAGCACACGGCGGGTGCACAGCAGGTCTCCACTGAAAGGATGCGAAGGCATACGGCCACTGCCCGCTCTCTTCCTCTTGCCCAGGCACTGTAATTCCTCCACCGCGGCAGAGCTGTGCCGCATCGCCTTGCACTTGGCCAGGCTGGGGATACGGACACGGGAGGTTACTGTGGCTCAGCTGATGGAGGCAACTCCATCACGAGCCAGAGTGTTCAGAGCTAAGAGACAAAGCCAACGTCTCACCCCTAAAGTGCAATTGAATTCACACCAGCTAGGGACTATGAAAAACATCATTTTTTTTAAGATGGTCTGTAACAATTGGAAGTAACTAACTGGTGCAGCTCTTGAGATGTGAATATGTGGAAAATAGGCCTTACATTAAAAGGACTTTGTGACTCTGATGTAAGGATACCATGTCTGATTGGTTGTTCACAGGGTGCTTTGTGACAGTTTCACAGAGATATGGAAATATGCAAATTATATGAAATCATAAATATGATAGGTATAACAATATCTATTGCTGTTTGTTTCTGGCACTGCCCACAGTGCACTAGCACTTTCCTGAGACAGAATCTGATAACATACCAACTTTGAGGAGTCTCAGATTTAAGCACAGACATGCAATCAGGCAGTCAGATGATGATGATGATGCAGAGAGCAGATGGGGTCACTTGGACAAAGCCTAACAGGCAATACAACAATATAATTATTGCCACTTATTCAGTGCTGTGTCTGCAATGCAACAGTGAAGAGGAATGAGTATCTTGTGAGGTGAGTTGTTCCCATTTTTTTTTAATAGATCAAAAGATGAGAGGAAAAAAAGCTCTGTGATTTGCTCAGTTACAAAGCTTTTCTATAGCAGACCTGGAAGGAAATCAGAGAGCTATTTCCCAGCACCTGCTCTCTCAGCCTGAACAATCCACTGACAATAAAAAAATCAACAAGGAGAAAAAAAACCCAGATCAATTAAACCATATAAACCCAGAACTTTGGTGATGAATCTGCAAAATCTGGAGGAGGACACTGGGGCGCTTCCATTATGCAGAGAGCAAATTCTTCTCAAGAGATATGATATTGCCAGGGCAATACCGTGGTGTCTACAGGGGTTGAGTCAGAATCTCACCCCCAAGGCAGTCACCAGCAGAGGGGGGCCATGCTTTCCTCCTTCCTACGAGTGTTGTCACCAGGACACAGCACTACCAGCAAGAATTCACAGCATTGGCCAAACAAAGCATTTCAGTGCTAAAACGTCAGGGGAGCATATCATTCTCCTGGGCAGTACTTCTCAGAATAACAAAGCTCAGTGTATTATAGGTCAGTCTAAGTCCTCCAGATACTGAAGCAGAAAGTAGCACGTAAAGCCTGGAGACATCAGAGATTTCAATAACTAGAATCTATGCATGAGACTCTTCCAGGAGGAAAAGAATTCACTTGTGGTTTGTTTCTAACTGGTACCCCGGGAGAATTGTAAGTAGTGTCTAGCTATTTGTACTGAAGCAATGAAGAAACAAATGAACTAATTCTAATGTCTTTGTTTTGGCAAACAGTTAAGAATGCAATAATGTCTAAGGTTTGAAATGTAATAAGGGAAGAAATAACATAAATGCTTTAATTACCTTGTTTTAAAGTATATATTGTAGAGGTAGCTGAGAAGTTTGTGGCTGTGATCACATTCTCTCTGTTTGAAGTATCAAGTTCCACTCGCGTCAGTTTTTCAACATCGCTGTGGAAACTGCTGACTTCCCCGGTCGGGAAGGTCGCGTTGGTCAGATGGCCATCGGAGTCATACCTGCAAGACATGACATTACAGAGCCATGAAAATACATCACTATTGTCTTGTAGATACTCCTAAAAGAAAAAACCAGGGAAAAAAAGCAGGAAGCATTGTCCACAGTGTGCAATAAGTAACAAGGTAAGAATCGGTCCATTTAGTCACTCAAAACGCATTCATTCTCTAATCCGAATTCCTGCTTAGACTCTTTTTCAGTGGTGCTGGATAAAATACAACTGGGAACAGCATGAGATGCTACCTGCATCACCGAGCTTCTGGCAGAGGTTTCAGCGCTGCGCAGGGACGGTCGGGGTCTGACCCGTGGGGATGTGATAGAGAAGTGCAGCCGCTGGAGGTCACTCGGCGCTCAGGCAACTGACTCACCCCCAAAAAGGCGTTTTTCTTACCCAGAAGTTTAAATAAAACCAATTCTTCGATTCTGCGCCACTCAAAAACTGCCTTTTGTCGCTGATGTGTGAAGTGCACATGAATGGTGAATTTAAAAAGGGGACCTAAAGCGTAACAATAGCGATAAAATTAGATTGAAATCTGCAGCGATTAAGTTGCCTACATGGTTTTTACTCTTGTGTTACGTTTCCCACAGGCCTACTCAAATCAGCAGGAACTTCTCATCACAAGTAACGGCACCAGAATCTAGAGCACCACATTTTAGTTCACCCAAATTTCATCAGTGCTAAAGAAATTCTTTTCGTTTAAGGTACTTTATGTGAATTGGGCCATGTTATGAAAAAGTCAATAATTAATTCAAAAGCTCTGAAGCAGTGTTTCTAATGGGTCTTTTCAGTTCTACAGATATATTTGTTCTTTCTGATGGTTCACATGGAAAACAACGCACAACATTGCTTGGTGCTTGATACTGTTTCATATTAATGCCTTCCATCTTATAAACCTTATTGATACTAACATGTTTTTATTCATCTAAGACACCTCACTGATACTGCAGATGTATTTGCATGAGTAAAACCAACTCATGTTCATAAAATAGAAGCCTATTTGTGCAGGTAGGAAAGTATAATTAAGTTTTTATGTTTTATTAACTGTCTCCCCTCATTCACAAAATGTATCCTCAGCTGGTATATCAACCGGTAAAGCTCCGCTGCCTTCAATGGAGCTCTTCCAATTCACATCAGCAGACAATCTGGCTATGTCCTTCACTTTAATCTGTTGGCATCATTTCCTTAGGATCTTTATTTCCCCCTAATTAGTCAGACAAAATCTATATGTCATAAGAAGTGCTGGTGAAAAAAAAAATAAATCGGGAATTTTCCTCTTCTCCCCAGTATAAAAAAGAAAAATAGAGCAGCTGTTCTTTTCAAATGAAACACTGGAGAATGAACTAGTGACCATCTTGTGTTTTTTGACAAATAAATGAATCAAATGTTAAATGCAATGTAATCTCTCTCTCTTTCACCTCCTGCTGCCCTCACATACATCACACAACTTATTTACATTCCACCCTCATGCTGGTTCTGTGCAAACTGACTGGGTGCCACACCCAGCGATTAAAACTGACTCAGATCACTACTTTTCATCATTAGAAAAATCCATGGACATGGGGCAGTTATATATTTCATTTATTGCTTGATCGAACAGATATGACAGCTTGCTAGGTTATTTGGATTTTCTACTGTACCATAGAAAAATCCCCAAATCATGCAATTTTATGGCGTAAATGCAGCCAGATTATTGGAATGTACTTGTGTGCAAGACTCAGGATTCACCTCTGGTAAGGATCCAGTTTTGCTCCTGACAGTGCTGATGATCAGATACAAAACTCCCTGTGTAGCTGAAAATGGGTTAAACCGTTACCGGATGGCTGGCCAGATACAGTATTGAATTATAATGAGACTACAGCACATGCCAATGGACTCTTACTCATGTAGATGGTCCTACTAACTTCAAGGAGAACATGTAGATTAGTGTCTCGGTAATGATTGCACAGCGTGACCATCTAAAGGGTTGTTTTAATTCCAGATTGCTCCAAGAAACCCAACCCTCCAAGGAGGGCTTCTGCCACCTTCCACATGATGAATAGTAGCACACTGGGACTCAATTCCTGCAGAGCAATGTCCTACCCATACTAATAGGGGCAGAATCACAACATATTTCTTAATGTTAATTTGGGGCCCAGTTATGCTGCTGTTAATCATGTTGGTGACCATTTAATCATGCAAATAATTGCATTGATTTCAGTACTTACATGAGGAAGTGCTCACCAATATTTGAAATGCACACTTGGGGATATAGCTTCACAATCCGTTTGCATTTCTATGTCTAGCACAGTTAAGAGTCATATCATTTCGAAGGGAAAGCGGTCTAATTAATTTTTTCAGAGAGAGTTGTTTCTTGCAGGTGTTTTCTTGTCCTTGATTTAATAGAGGCCCAGTGCTCCCCCTCCCCTTTTACAGCTTTAATGATACAATATTAAAAAAATCTAGATGACTGAAAATTGTACATTAGCTATAATTTTATGCAAGAGCTCTTTCAGTACTTCCATTCCATCAGATCAGAATAGATGGATGACAAGTACTTTTGTAGGTGGTTTTCTACCTCTTAATAATTTCCCTCTGTGAGTGAATCTGACATATAGGTAGATGTTCTGAACGGTTCATTATCTTTGCTCATATTCCCAAGTATTGTGTTGTTAAACAAACTCATCCCTATTTCAGCTTGACAGTGCCATGGGTTGAACTTGTGGATGCAAATGCAAATCTAGCTTAAACAGAGAAGATGATTCCAAGCAATTTGAAAGTTGCTCATAAGATAATTCTCTTAGCTCCAATACTATGTTCATATAGGACTCAGAGGCATTTCACATATAAGTAACCCCTTAAAAAAAAATAAAATCTCATTTTCAAACCGAAATCGGGTGTCAGTTCAGAATGTGACCTGCCTGGAAAATAATGTCTGGTTAAAGGATGACTAAGGACCATCACGCCCCATGGTCTATCCATGGCAGAAGGTGAGCAGCACCTCCTGAAAGCACATCTACTCATCACTGCGCTGATTAAAGTCAACTGCTCCTCTGACTGCTGCGGATTGGGTGACATCCTGTGTATCTGCCATTCAGGAATTTGAAAACTATTGGACTGAACATAAATATTAATGACACGGCTTCACTATTGAATTCTGCTGTTGTTTTTGTCATGCTAACAACTGTAATTCTGTTAGTTTCTACTGACTGATCTAGACTGGCAGAAGTGCACAGTGGACAACTCGAAGCATAAGTGAGGACAGCGTTACCTAGCCTGCGGTTAAAGCTGTGAAAGTACGACAAACTGTTTAATTCAGCCAAATTTCTTTGTGTTAATCATATGCATCGTATCTTTCCTTCCAAGGTACAAGTACCTCTTTGTGAAGAAATCGGTATTACGTACAATGGGAGGCACTTGCAAGCAGGTGAAGTCCTTTGAAAGATCTTACTCTGCTTGAGCCATACTTTAACCAACAACTTGCCAGAAAACAACTGGCACAAGCAATAATTGTGTGAAATGGTTCACGCTCAATGCCAATGGGACAGAGTAAGAATACTGAGATTGAGAAGTACATGACTAAAAATGATCTGCTCTAACATGCTCTAACAATCAAGGCCCTGCAACAATGCATGGTGTTCAGCATTTTAAGAAGTAATAGGCATGACTTGGAGCTACTGTAAAAGCTTTTTGAACGTGTCATTGGTCCATGGTCTGGACTGATACCATCCTCAAGTAGGGATTTAAGTGGATCACTCTCAGTGTTGAAATTATTACAAAGAGGCATATATTTTAAGTCAGTTCTGCTTATAACAGGTAACACTCAGATCAGTGTTTAAACAGCACCAGGACAACAGTGTGCTTTGTCTTGTTGCAAGATAATTTAAATTTATATCAATACATGCCTGACAAGGACAACTGAACCAGGAAGGTCCTGTATGGTTTTGTTTTCCAATATATTGTAAAAAATGGCCCTCTCCAATGGTTTATACTTATGTCCACCCTATCAATTTAGTCTTTGGCAGAATAATAGAGGGCAGGATGAAAAAACATCCCCTTGAATAAAATAATCCCATGCACTAGGCAGCAGTTTTCTCTGCTTTTATCCTACTTCCATTTTAAGAAAATGTAATTCTCAAAACCTGTAATGATGGTGACTCAACTACCTCTCCAGGTGACTTATGCAGTAACTTAATACTCCTCAATGTGTTTTCTGTTCATATCTCAGCCGAAAGGCTTTTCATTTTAGTTTTTGACCATGAACTCCTATGCTGCACAGAAAGCAGGCTTTATTATCCTCCTTGGAGACTCTGAACTAATACTGCAATGTTAACATGATTTCCATCCATCACTTGTCACATCCTCAGACAAGGATTATGACAATTAATTATAAATAATGAGAAATCCTGATAAATCACACCTCTTTATACACCAAAAATGAACTTTCTCTTGGCTTGTCCTCTCTCTGGGACCAGATTGGGATGTTCTGACTGCATCTTTAACTGTCCTGTCTTGCTCTTTAGAAGTCCTGTCAAAGGTCTGCTGAACGTCTTGCTTACGAAGTCATTTCTACTCTCCTTTATATATAGTCTTTTGCTATTACATAGCCTTTTGTTATTACATATCCTCTTCCCCTCCTGACAGAGACGAGTCTACTCTTGTCTTTGAATATTCCTTCCACTGAGATTCTCAATTTCCTTTGCAACGCTCCCTTCCCTGATGAGTATGCTAATTTTCCTCTTTTTGCCTTCCTCAGGAATTTTGCAAATTCCTGATTCATATCACAACTTGCCTCTACTTCTTTAGTTACAAAAAATTCCACAGCCACATTTTCATTTAGAGAAACAGATTCACAATAATAAAGTGCAAATGAAGTATAATTTCAGGCAGTTTCTGCTACCCTTAATGGGCACTGCATACAGAGCTTTTACATATGACAGCCCTTGGCACTTACGAAATGGTAGTGTTTCATTGTAAAAGCTTGTGCAACAGCACTGCTTGGCCTTTCTCATGCAGCGTTACTAGCAGAGTGTCTTTTTACATTACTAGAAATTTCAATATTCATTCAAAATACAGTTCCTTACATCAGGCATTTAATGTCATGGACTTACTCATACACAGTTGTCCATCCATTCTCATCGCTTTTGGTTGCTAAAAGCCCTGTGTTTCCAGGATATGTCATCAGAGCCAGGTTGTAGCCTTGGGCATAAACTCTTTTCAGAACCCCATTGCTGCTTATGGTCAGCCAGTACACCTGGCCGCCCGGCACCACGACCCACAGGGGCAGCCCACTTGTGTCTCTGCGGATGTGAACTGAATTCCCGTTGCTGCTGGTGATGGTGCCTATATCCCCTTCCCCGCTGTAGGTGAAATTGTAAATGTAGTCCCTCGTTATGAGGTTCAGCGTGTGGAGGTGGGTGCCGTTGATGGTGAACTGATACAGTTCTTGGTCCGCTGGTGACGCGATCTCATACATGTTCGTGTCACTGAGGTGAGCCTTGTTTCGGCTGACTGCACGGATGCGAACGTTGCCAAGGTCTGCTATGTACAGTGTGTCATCAGGAGAGACTGCTAGAGAAGAAGGTGCTTTCAGCTTTGCATCTTTGGCATATCCACCATCACCTGGAGGAGAAATGGTAATTTTAGTAATCCGTAACGTCCATATTTAAGCTGATCCCCATAGCCTGACACTGCTGCTCCTCAGTATTATTTACAGGTCAATAAAACAGTTTCTTCTTCCAACTAATTAAATCCATATTATCTAAGGTTGGTGCAATTCTAAATCAGTCTCAGTGAAGACAAACAAGAATATAAATTATCTAATTTACACCATTTTTGCTCAGGCTCCTGCTTCTCAGGAATGCATTAATGGCCAAATTGTGAAAGAAAAAAACCCATGACACCTGAAGTTTCATTCCCCACTATTTGTCTGCTGGCATGTAGTTAAAGTAGAATTCTGTTATAAAAGCCAGTAATTCAGCTAAAATGACACTGAAGCAAAGATTAGTTTATACCTATTAAAAACTCACCACTACAGGAAACAAAACAAGAGTAATAGTAAAAATGGGCATTGAGAAACCACCCCTTCCAGTATCAGTTGATAATTCACTTGATTTGTGTATTTTAAGGTTTGAAGAGGATATTTGCATTATCATGGGCTGTATATGCATATCAAAATGACTTTACATGATCAGGATTTTCTGTAACTAGCAGGAAAGCAGATTAAACCTCACTCTTAGAGAAAAACACATTACTGTTTGCATTGCTCCCCTTCTCCTGACTGAGAAATGAAATTTGGTGGAGATTTTGAGCGTACCCAGTGCTTCCTTGGAGATGGACAAAGTAGCTGGTCTTCTGACCTTGCCTTACACCAACCCAGCACTGGCACAATCATTAGATTTCCTCAGCACTGAGGGCAGTTTGCCTCGGTAGGAACCCTGAACAGGATGCTTTTCAGCACCGGTCTGCCATAGCTGTAACGGAAGCTGGCAGCACTCGGCAACGCGCATGGAGCTTTGACTGTCATTACAACGCCGGGTCAGCAACCCACCTTCTCTGGTAGACCATTTGCATTTTTTTTCTCTCCATTCTTGACATACTTAATGTTTTCTTGTCAGTAATTAACCTTTTACTTGAAATGGGAGGCTTAAGAATTATGATGACATTATGGAGCTGAACACAGTGGTTCTTAGAGATGACAACATACTGCACACCTCTGTCTATGGGACTGCTGTCCTTTGCCCCCTTATGAAATATGTTTTTATGAAAAAAAAAAAAAAAAGCGCCACAATTTGTTTTGGTGCGTGCAGGGCAGAGGAGCTGTGTTGCTGAGAACATCCAGTGGTGCAAGAAGACCACCAAGACACACCAAGAAGATGAAATTCTGAACATTATGTGCTTGCATCATTTTGCTGACTGCAGCGTGACACGAGTGATGAGAAGGCATAAGCTAGTGTTTTTCACTGGATGTGAAACACCTTGGTAGTCTTCTTGGTAAGACGGGCTGCCTGATCCAGTAACATTTAGGTGCGATCTGCACTGGGGCTGGTACCATCTTCAACACGGGCAAAGACAGATGACACAGAAAGCCAGACTTGGAGCTAATTTTGAATGGTGTGTAATCTCTGTATCAAAAGAGGAAAAGCTAAGACCACCCTGAGGTCCTCCAGTGCCAACTGGAAGACTCACATCTCTACATCCAATGGATTAAATCCACAAAGAGCTGCTCATAAGGTTCTCGGCTTTCCAAGGAATCATTGCTCGTCTCCTTCCCCTTGTTGCTTTGCTCATCTGCAACTGTGCCAGGGGAATCTCAACAGATAAGAGACAGGAAATAACTAGCAGCACCTTACCTGAAAAACAGTCACAATTAGGATCAATCTTGCAGTCACAATCTGATGGGGCTCCGGCGATTATAGAGATCTCACCGTTGGTTGTGACCTGTTGTATACGGTTGATCTTTCTTTCATCTGTCTCTGCAATGTAGAGTATCCCGCTGTGAGATACTGCGATCGCCCTGGCCGACTCCAGGGTCGAATGGATGGCCACCTTGCTGACGATGAAGTGGTCGATGCCTGGCACCTGGCAGTGAATGGGACGCCCTGCAATGATTCGCACACGCCTGTTCTCAGAGATCTGCAGGACAATGTTGTTGTCCAGGACATACAGTGAATTGTCTAGAGGGTTCACTGTGAGGTCTGTTGGCCACTCTAACCGCACCTGGAAAAAAAATAAATTAAGGGGAAGGCAGAGACAAAGAAAGAAGAATGATTAAGACAGTAAGGCAGTTTCATTCAACCGTCTCTGATCACCATGCCATCAAGGCACCCAGCACTACTTACTACTACATACTTCTCTAGTATGAACCTTTAATTGGGTTCGGCAGAAGAAGTTTCAACAAACATACTCTTTTCTGAGGTCCAGCTCCGGTGTGGAACAAAACTTAATTTGAAAAGTAATTTAGCACCCTCTGAGAGGGATTTGCATAAGTCCATTAAGGTGGGAACTTTATTATACCTATGCAGTCATGCAAATAAAAACACACACTTCATGTCATGCAACATCAGCCAGAAAATTTTCCAGGTCTGAATGTTATTGTTTCAAGGTTGCAGTCAACACTGGCAGGGTGGAAAACAGTTAGAGGTTGTCAATGTCCTAACACTTTAATTGACTGTTAGCACAAAAGGAAAATGACATACTACAAGAGTATGACACATTTCCACAATTTATTTACTAAGCAAGAAATGTTAATAAGACTTATATGCCATAAGAAATATAAGCTTGTTAATTCTTTGTACCATAATAATACACCAATATATCACACTTCATGTGATACGACAGCCAAGCCATAATTACTTATAATGATTTTGCTTTGTGAATTCAGTATTTCAGTCGTGGATTGAGTAAATTCTTCATATTTAAGGTTAGCTTTTTGCCCTTTTCCATGCAGATGAGAGTCCCACCCAAGCAAAGTTTCCCAACCACGCTGGAGGAAATGCTAGAAGAATGACCTCACTCATCCGATACCTGTTGCATCAGGATCTGGAGGAATTAAACGTGCTCCCAATTAAAGGTGGGGCAGCCTGTCAACCTGAAAGACAGCCACTATGTTGGCTGCTGACTGTAGCACGTACTGGCCAAGGCTTCAAATTTCTCCTGTTGAGAAAGCTCAACGGGCAGTGCAGGATCGCTGATTTGGGAAATACCACCACAGCGGACTGGTCCCTCTCCCCAGCTAATGGCCAGTGGAGGATTTGGACTGCAGCTTGTCTATGGAAAGGTCAGAGAACAACTGAGCCACCGAGATTGCAAGACAGCCTATTCTCATCTGTCTCAACATGCTTTGCTTGTTATCCTTCATGAAGAGATGGCTGCTTTTATCTGAGTGGAATTTTTTTGGACTAAATATTTCAATCATCAGAAAAGAATAAATACCAGGCTAAAATGTAACAGTTTTATATGCTTTACACGTCACAGAAGCTTCTATTATTTAATTTACTGATTTTTGTTGCTGTTTTTTCTCATTTTTCTACTGTGCTAATTAAAAGATCTATGAATTTAGAGACTGCAGATGCTAATACAATGCTCAGCGCTGAGGAATAACATATGGTGGAGTGTGTGGCCATCGCGAGCCACCTGCTCGCCTAGGGTCAGCTCAGGAACCAGGCTGGAGGCCAAGTCTCTCCCTTTCTCAAGCATCAGTATTTCCTGAATAATCTCATTTCCAGAAGTACATTGCCTGTTTGATAACTGATGTTTTAATAAAGTGAGGGCATTGCGGCTACCGTGTCTCGTCCTGCGTGGTTACGTGGTGCACCACACAATTATGAAGGCTCACGGAGTAATCGAATTCCTCCTTGTGCCCAGTCCCTTTTATTAGACAGCATAATAACTGGCATTATGACTAATGCTGTTGGGTTCAAGATCTCTTCTGAACCAGGTGGGAGAGCCCTTCCAAATGATGATAAATGCGGTGAAACAGTTGGGAACAGATTTCTCGCATAAAGGTGCTGATTTCTGTGCGTGTGTGAGACTGCCCGCGTTCCACTCGCTGTGCTAGGGCTGGCTTACACACCGCTCTTAGCTCAGGCTTCAGCTGAGAGTTCACTGGGACACCAAATAAAACGCTTTAGTTAGCGTAAAAATCTCTACAAGGCTATCTTCAGGAAATTTGGAAAAAAACGTATTTGCAATGTACCTTTAATGCAGAACGTTTGATTGCTCTATCAAAGTAAATGGATTATTTTTAACGGGAAACAGACTCCTTCAACTTTAACAGCCTCCTTCACAGGTCGCTCTGCTGTAAAAATAATCTCTGCTTATCCGTAACTAGATTATTAGTGATAAAAACTTTGGGCTGAAACTATTTTTGCCATAATGACTCTGCATAGCATTTGCCATGTTTTAATAGCTGGTTTTCTTTTGTGGACCAGCCACACTGCCTTTGCCCAGCGAGTAATTTGAATTCTTCTCACTGTGCGCGTATGCCTGGTGTCTTGCAGATAAACAGGGACCGGTTGGGGTCAAAACAACTTTTTCTCTGGTTGATTTGAGGCTGATTTGGTTTATTGAGATAGAATAAACTTTTATGCAACTGTCCATTTCACTTGCAGCAATGTGCCTAAAGCTTAGTCTTAACAGCTGTTAACTGCAAGCGCATTTGCTTTCATACTGCTTACATCTGTAAATCTAGTTGCATTATGGTAAAAATAAGTAAAATTTTAGTTGGGAACATCTAAACCAATTTTGGTTACTACACCAGAACCGTTGCCTGGCTCTCTGCTCTGCAAAGCTCACAGAAGGTATGGCTACAGCTTCTCCTTCCTGGGTTTAAAGCGCTCATGGAAGTATTCCTGGTTTAATCCCAGGTGAAATATTAAAGCTAGCATGTACCTGTCTGGAGACTGCAGCATAAAAACCAGCTGCTGCTCACTGCAAGCTTATGCTAGTGCAACTGGAGGGGAAAAGAAGGTGAAATAGGCCAAGTAAAATCAAACATACACAGAAACACAACCCCTGAGCGTTCCTAATCTGAAGAAGAATTTCACAGATTTAGAAAAAAATCTGCACTGTTCGTGTCAGGATGAGACTTCAAGGCATCTTAAACTGGTGTGAACTGGGGCCGCTGCAGCCCCACCCCAGCCCTTCTCCCCGTGCAGCCCCCGGCAGCAAGGCCAGTGTTTCTGTGCTGCTGCACAGAGCAGGTTCAGGACGGTTTGCTGGCTAAAAACTAATCACCTAAATCAGCTTAAAATGAAGTGTAACTGCACCCTCAGGTTCACTGTTACCTTGAAAAGTCATCAGTTGTTTTTTTTCTTTTAAAGCAAGCTGCCCTCTGGCAGGTTTCTGTGACCAAACCATCAGTTGTGCTTCATTCAGACCCAACAAACATATTCCAGAGAAGCACGTCAATTCTCATCAGATATGACTGTGCCTATTAAAAAGTTTTTTTCCAGACCAAGCCTCAGTAAGGATTAGAATATTAAATCATTTAATATACTTTTTAATTTGAAGCAAAACTTCACAAGCCCCTGTAAAAAGTCCTCTCCCATTTGTCTATATTTTTCTTAGAACTCAAAATTGGGCCAATTGCAAGAGGTTTTTCTCACATTTGATGGGTTCTTTTTTTTGAGCAGTATACAGAAAAGGCATTGCCTATTATCCCATTATAAACAAACAGACAAGGTTTGTTCAGTAGCAGTCAGGACCTCACATTCTTCACAGATTGAAATTTTCAGGTGACAATTCTGGTCTGGTTCACTGAAGACTGAGCAGATGCAATGCAAATCACTGCCGAAACAAGTGAACCCTTGAGCAATGAGACCTTTTGCATACAAGTATTAACATGTCAACTTTTCTGGGAATTCAGCATTTAACTGTCAAGATAAAGGCTCCAGCTATATCTAATAATCAATCTCTGGTTTGAGAAGTGCAAAATTAACACCTACTGGTCTGGCTTTCTAATACATTTTTTCATGTCAACTGTTCTGGAAAACACAAAGTGCACTCAGGTGGCTTCAGCTGAAATGAATTTTCACTGGGAGATCTACATTTAGGTAGTTAAATAGCTCTCAGACCCAAATGCTATCTTTTTTGTTTGTTTCTTTCTTGCAAAATATGCATGTGCTTGTATAACTCTCTATCTACCTACCTATCTGGTTTTGAAATATTTAAATATTTTTCCTGCAGCAAAGCTTGGCAACTAAATAAGTAACGTGAGTCTTTTGCAAAGCAGCACCGATAGGAGAGCCCACACTCCTATACTTTTTAAACACACACGCCCGCACACGTACACACATTTAAGCGTTAGTTTGTGAAGAATACTGTTTCACTTTTGGTTTTGACCATATGGCTAAAACTTTCTGCACATTTTGCATGACATTTTACGGCTGTGGCATTTTTGGTAATATTTTAAACAAATCAGATCAACTCTACCGTTCATATCAAAGTGAGAAAAGTAAAGAGGGAAAAATTTATCCTTGTCTGCAGATGCAGGTTTCAAGAGCTTAACTGTTTGGTTGCGGGGGTGAATTTCACTGGGATAAGTTTCATTTATCATGGACTAAAAGAAGCTGCATAAATCCCTAAAAAGGCTTCACCATTGCTTTGATTCCTTGCCATGCATTCCGTGTATATTTTGATTCAATTTCACGTAGCAGCATGAAATTCATGCCAAAATTTTTCCGATAGTCCTGACTGATGGATTACTTCCTATCTGCACTGCTCAGCTTCAAGCACCTCTGTTTATGCTGCCTTTGCCTTTATCCAGCTCTACCGTATGCGTTTGCAGACCTGATTATAACATCCTCCATATCTCTTCTGCTGCTAACTTCCTTTTTCCGTCTCCTCTTATTTACACTCACCGCAGCTGTCGTTTCCAGGCCAAACCCTTTTACTCAAGACGACGTCCTTCCAAATAGCATTTTTCTCTCTTCCCACCCAAACCCTTCTTTCTCCTTCCCTCAGCGAGAGAAATAGCTCCGAGGAAGGACTCGCCCGGGCGGCCCACCAGGAGTGAGCGTGTAGGTTACCAGCCTGAAGGACACCAGTTCTGCTTCCATGAACTTTTTACAGGATGTCTCACTACATGTCTCTCTCTCTCTATTTTCTCACCGTTGACAACCACGGATAGTTTTTCATCATTTGCTGTCAGTTTGCTCTCACTTCTGGGCTCTCTCTTTTGTTGACACTGACACTGTCAGCTCCTCGCAGCAGCTTAG